AGCTTATTTGCTATTTATAATTTCTGTAATTGGCTTTTTAAAACCTAAATATACATACAAGTCAATAAATATCTTTATTAAATATAAATAAAAAGCATTTATCGACAGGTTAAATATCTAAAATTATAGAGATAATTTTATTATTTTTATTAATAGCTTTATTAAAACCAAAATTTCAGTAGTAATTTTTTAAATTTTTTAGCGAGAAAAGTAAGGATTTACTATTATCATAAAGTTTCATCAATCCAGTTTTTTTTTTTTTTTAGCAAGAGCCCAAGAGGTTTTTGTTAACAGAAGCACTAGGGTTTCATCATTTTGAATTTGGGTTTTGTCTTTCGTCAGCAGAATTTGAGGTTTCGTCTTTCGTTAGGAGTTTTATCATTTTGGGGTTTAGGTTTCGTCTTTCGTCACCAATATAAAAAGGTTTCGTTTAATAACTATAGACTCTACTACAGTATGTGATTTACTGACCCAGGTAGCAAACGTGATCTTAATAGATCGGCATTGTTATTGCTGTACTGTATTGTTATATTACAGACATGGTTCAAAAAAACAAAGTCGCATTGTAATAAATAGCATTTGAAAGACAAATATAAAAGCTATTTAAATAAAATTCTATTTTTTATCTTAATTTCTATTTTACTAATCTTTTTATTATATTTAGCTTTATTTTATTTCCTTATTTTACAAAGTAGGAACAGATCGAGAGAATTGCTGGATCTAACATAATAACTATTCCTAACATGATAACTACTCCAAGTTTCAAATTCTGGTGCTCTAACTTTACAACATGAGAACAACTCTTGGTTAAGTTGCGGCCCTTTTCTAGAAAATTACTGGGTTTGGCAGCTTGTAAACCACTCCAATCCCCAAATTTAGATGCTTCCAACTTTGTTATTAAAATCTGCTGGTTCTAAAAAAAAAGCTAGCTATGTAACTTTTACATTAAATCAAGAAGCGATGCAATTTTGCAATTTTGCTTCTTTATTTTACAAAGTGAGAGCAACTCTTGATTACTAGCGGGCACCAATTGAGAGTTTATATGGAAACAACTCTTGGTTAAGTTGTGGCTCTTTTTTAGAGAATTACTGGGTTTGGCAGCTTGGTAACCACTCCAATCCCCAAATTCAGGCACTCCCAACTTTGGTATTAAAGTTTGCTGGCTATATGACCTTTATGTTAAATAAAGAAGCAGAGCAAATTTGCAATTTTGCTTCTTTATTTTACAAAGTGGGAGCAACTCTTGATTACTGGCAGGCACGAATCAAGAGTTTAACTTCAAGTCCCAAATTTTGGCACTTAACTTCACAACGCTTGGACCAATACAGAGAATTACTAGGTTTGTGAGATCTGTGTGATAAACTGGAGCAAATAATAAGTACTAGTTTTATTTTCTTGTTCTAAATTTTTTCTTTTTTTCTCAATTGAAACTAATGCTTATTCTCTTTTGTAAATATTTTCTTTGCTGCAATGCGAATAGAGAGCTTTTACAATATTCAAATCTTGATGAAAACTGAAACAGTAATTATTAGATTATTATTCTTTCATTCTTGTTTTTTTTTTCAAGAGGAATTAACACTTTCTTCCCTTTTGTAGATTTTGAACTGTAATCTTGACAATATATTTAAGAATTAGGTGAAAAGGTAAGTTATTAATGATAAGTTCCGTATTGCTTTTCTTATTTCTTTATTATAGGCTTGCTTTTTTTTTTTAATAAGAACTACTTTTCTATAGGTCTTTGTTGTAATGTAAACTGTGAAAATTTGATGTGAATCGTAGTAATATTAGTCGATTTAACATTAGTCGACTTAGGCTATTCTCAAAAACCTCACTCAATAGATTAGATGTAAAATTTTAATTAGTCAGAAATTAAATAAATCAATCAACTGAGTTACCAATTTGATCAACAAATCAATGAAATACAACCCACCTTTTTTCTCCAAAAATTTACCATTGATAAAGATCACTCAAACACTACTTTTACATTTTAACATATCAAGCATAATAAACAATGAATTCACAACAAAATTCACACCAAATTTCAAACTGGTCTAAAAAAATAGCTATTTTATTTTTATTTTTTTTAATATTTGGGGTGTAGCTCTTGCCCCAGACTTTTATTAATACTTAAGTAAATTGACATATGATGGTGCTGTAAATACATACATATTATATATCAGAACTAG